AAATAAAGGTGTCAGAACCAGGGGTGCCCAGGTGGTCATAACGTTTATGGCTGATCGGTGTATTGCACTTGTCAATCTGCAAAATGAGTTTATAGCATTAGAAAAGCATGGGCTAATAGACTGGTTCTGAATTAAAAATGGAGACAATCCAGCTCATCGACGATGATGAAGTCTGGTTCCACCAATTTCCCACACATACACAATACATATTCTGTTTGGATATTCCTCAATTATGCCTTGTTCTGGTTCCAGTGTGTAGGATTTAGGGCATCTATGGTGGAAGTTGCACATTGAAGACTATTTGAATACAGTTTAGCTTCTGGTGTGTAGAACAGGTGCAGGAACCATTTTTTGGCCCTAAAACATATTTGAGCCTTAACGATGCTAGTTACTCACTGCAGATCGAGCATATTCTGTTTGATATTTGGTGGGACGCAAATGCAAGACACAAAGACAAGCAGTATTGTGAAGTTAAGAAGATTTATTCTTAAACCTGCTGAGGTGGATGATGACAAGACGGGGTAGAGGAGCAAGGGTGGGGGGCTCTGGTCAAAAGCTGGCAGGCAGGCAGATGAAGTGTAGTCCTGGGAGGACAGGAATTGCAATTAAGCAGGAGTATACACATAAACTGGAAAGCACTAAGACAACTACATCACAAGAAAATAAGAATGATCTGCCGCAGGATGTCAGTAGAAGCTGTAGCTGAATTTACTGGGCTGATGAGCGGACAGGCTGAGCCAACCTGCTGTGCTAAGCTGATTCCAAACAGGTATGCAGGAGAGTTAGAGCTGGGAAAGCCAGGAGAGAAGGCCACACCGGCGGCTGTGGTGTAGACGCAGAGCGGGTCATCTACTAATCGGAAGGGTTGTTGGTTCAATCCCGGCTCCTGGTGCCACATGTCGAAGTATCCTTGAGCAAGAATACTGAACCCCGAATTAGACAACAGCTTAAAGGACCAGTGTGTAGAATTTAGTGGTAGTAGTCATCCAAGTACAGGAGAAACTAGGGTGGCTGCAAAACTTGCAAAAATGTCCTTATCTAGAACCAGTGTTTGGTTTGTCCGTTCTGAGCTACGATGATTCTTATTTTCAGGTGGTTATACACTAACACACTACACTACACTAATGAAAACATAGCTATGAATATTATATTCCATTTCTGACAATAGATCCTCATGAATGTTACACTGGCCCTTAAATTAGAGTGACTGCAAAACTAATAGAATCCTACACATTCATTAAAATATATATATAACACTTTATAATAAGGGTATAAATTATATACTTGAATAATACTTAACTAATGCATGACCCCTGATGATTTAATGTATTAATAATTAATGAAGGATGTATGATGAATTCCTGTTGCTCACCACAAACAAATGATCAAGTCTCTATCGCTTTTGTGATTAGTTCACACGTCATACATCATCAGTTAAGGAATATTACTTCATACATTAATTGATAAGCGGTCAAATTAAGTGTGTCAAAAATACCCCTTGGTCCATTCTCATAGAAATATGAAAAATGAATGAATGAAAATGAAAAAGATATTTCTTATAAATCAGTGAAGCTGAGAATATGTGAGGTCTTGAAAAAACTGTAACATGAATCCATCTAATTGGTCACATATCAATTAATGTATGAAGTAACTGTTAATTAACTTCCCATAACTGATCATTTATTAAATGCAAACTAATCACAAAAGTCATAGTGAGTATCATTTGTTAGTGGTGAGCAACATGAATTCATGGAGCATCCTGCATTAGTTCTTGCATTAAATAATCATGAGTTAGTAATTAGTTAAGCATTACTTAAGTACAGTATATACTCTGTACATGTGCATTCTCATGAAGTGTTACACATAAACTGCTAGATAGACCTTGGAGGGATGCCAAATATACTGTGCCCCTTTTATCATGCGGACAGTGATAATGCTGATAACTTCAATTTCAAATTGATTTTAAAATGTTATTGCTCACTGCCTCACGAGTCAAGTCCCTTCTTCCTTTTGTTTTTTGAAAGTTCTTATCTTTTATTTATTTTTTTATTAATTTTTGTGCTATATAAATTAAGTTTATTATTATTTACAGTTCCTACAATACAACTGTCAATGTGTGACCTGTGGCTGAGCAAAAACTCTTGAAAAAACTTCCCCCAAACTAAAGCAAAATTTCAAATGGATGATTCAGTTCAACAAATGATTTTGCCCATCTGTTTTTATTTGTGTTCTGAATGTGTTATTCCGTTTTATCTAGCTTTTTCTGGTGTTTGCCATTTGAAAATATTTGCTCAGCATTTAAAGCGACTGCAGAGCAAATAAAGTGCAAAAATAATGGAAAATGAAAATAAGTGCCAGTTGCCAGCTGTTAAGCACTAAGCAGAAATTACAGCTGATGGAAATGTCATTAGTTTTGCAGCTATTGCTCATAAACCAAAGTATTGGACAAATTAAAATGCTGGCCTGATGATGGTGCTAGTTGAAAAGTTCAGGGATAAGCTCTGTTAGAAGAATTTAAGCTGCAGTAGGTCATTTTATCATCATTTTAATAAAAATAACTTTTTGCCATATTTTCTGAAACTGTCACTATATCAGTCACTGGTTCCTCTGGCTCCTCGTAGTGCTCCTAATGGCATTCGCAAGAATCCACCGAGCCTGAATAAAAGCAACCAATCAGAGCCAAAAAAAACAGGAAGATTATGTATTTAATGTACTACTGTCAGGATATAGGGGCGGCTGCGGCTCAGAGGAAGAGCTAGTGTTCCACTAATCGGAAGGTTGTTGGTTTGATCCCCGGCTCCTCCCCGCTACATGCCGAAGTATCCTTGAGCAAGATACTGAACCCTAAATTGTTCCAGATTCATAGAAACCAGCATTTGATTGTAGTGTTTATTCACTGTTAGGAAATGTTTTGATGAGACTTAAGAATCTGTATTGAAATCAAACCATCAGGTGAAGATATTTTTATTAAGTAACATGAATTAAAATACATGTAAACATATAGAACCTCAGGCACTTTGAGGGGCTATCAAGTTTACCTTTTCACACAACTGTAGCTAGATTGTCTGCTCTCTAGCTAACCAGTCCACAACTCTACTTCACATGGACAGCTTTCTAAAAAGTCTTCACATCACTGTAGCCAGGTGCTTGTCACAGTAAAAAAAACATTTCTAGAAAAGAAAGCTAATTCCCACACCGCCATCCAAAGTCTCTCTGCTCTCAGCTCTCCTCAGTCAGAGTAGGCGGCTGTCTGTCCAGGATGCTAGCCAGTGTTTTAAACGGCTGTCCCCAGTCACCAAGGGAGCTAAAATCCCCTGTATCATCAATTACCCACGATTCCTCTATAGAGCTGAGCGAGCCAGCCACTGAGCCTTCACCCTCATAGGCGTAGGTCGCCAGTGAATCATACGGTGGGGCGGCGTAACCCTGCTGGCTGTCCTCCAGTCGCTGCTCGATGAACTCCCTGATCATTTCAGCGTCGCCCTCGGTCACTCTGCCGCGGGCAGAGAGTGGGGCCTTGTTGTTCACGGCAGTGATGACGCTGGCTGTTTGGCAGTGGATGTCGGGTGACCTGACGTTACCGGGGCGACTGCTGAGATGCAGCAGAACCCCGTCTCCGTAGCCATTTTTCTCCTTCTTGGAGGTGCTGCTGTGAGTGCTGGTGCGCTGTGAGTGCGTGGTGCGCAGAGTGCCCATGTCGAAGGCATGAGTGTCCGCTTCACCACCGCCCTCGTCGTCATAGTGAATGACGTTATCACGGATGTCCTCTTTGGATGTCATCAGAGTCTCTTTCTCTTTGTTGCGCCTCTGGCCCATGTATAAGACTGCCATAACTGCATGACACAAAGAGAAAAAAAACTATGGCTTAGTTGAAAGATATTTATACCTGTGTACATTTGGCACGGTCTCAACTGGATGTTGACCCATATGTGTGCTGTTTTTGTGATTATCTTTTGAGCATATTTGATTATCTATGTGACCATGTTTCAAATTATTCTGACTGAAGTTTTGATTGGAAATTTGGAAATATCTATTATAAATTATAAATATACATTTTTTATAAATTCCTCTCACAGTGGCCCAAATATTCTTCCTGTCCATTCCAGTGTTTGTCATTTATCTCAACTTTGCCAACTCATGTTGAATTTCCCCCCTCAGTTTTACTACACATTAGTGTATCTTAATAAAATGTGTGTTATAGGTCATCTCTCCTGATCCCTTTTTAACAAGGCTACTCTGTTAGAGATGGGGGACAAAGGTGAACAGTGACTGTGGACTTTGGTTGCCATGCCATTGTTCCAATGTCTCTTCTTGGCCTGCCAGATGTTTCTAGCAAAAAAAAATTTTTTTATACTGTTTTATTTTTCTCTAAGGTAAAAATTCTCTCTAAATATGTAGGATCCCTAATTATTAATTAGTTTTCACAATCTGACCACAGTGGGCTGAAGCTCTGAGAAACTGAGGGAGAGCGCAATAACTGCACTTTGCGCTTTGTCTTGGTTTTTGGTTGGGTACTGTAGTTACTGCAATATTTAAGATAGAGCCAGACTGAACTCAGCTATTCTGTTTAAGTTCAATTTCTATCACACCTCAATTTTGATCAAAATTGTAGTTACTGTGGTTTGCCTTTGGGCGGAGTAGTCATGCTATCAGAGGATCTCTTAATGGCCAGTGTGGACAGGACGACTGGTTATAGGGACTCTTTCAAAGTACATTTAGCATCTAAATTCAGATACAAAATTTCACATGAAAAAAACTTTATGGCAGGCTGAGCACATGACAACAAGGAAATGTGTGCTTAAAGTTTCTGGTTAACAGTCTCCGCTTTAAAAAGAACACGCCACAATCCAGCTGTCTTATCCTTATGTTTTAAGACTAATGAAAAAGCTGATGGATCACAGTGTGAACTATCCTGACGGTGGGGTAAGGGTGACACTTCGCTTCCAGGTCAGATGAAGGGTAATTTGCTTTGTCTCAGTTGGAGTCTGCATGTGAGGCATACAAACTGCCAAAACTGAGCGCAAGCAGCTATAAAGATAGCAAGAGGAGCCCCGCTGCTCACTCAAATCTCACAAATTCCTCTTGCGGGCACAAAACATTAATTATACTCACACTTCTGTCCTGGATTGGTCTCTGTAGAACTTTCCAGCAGGTGTAAATATTGCTTTATATATATGTATTAAAAGTGATAGGTGTTATGATTATGTCCTGGGGTATTTGAGGAAATAAGTGTGTACATTTACACCACCTTATTCGAAGCAGGCATATTTTATGTTATATTTCATATAATCATACCAGGTTACAGTTTGTTTTACTATCATCCTGGTCTCCAGACTGTGTGTCTGTGTATGCATCATTAGTCACAGTGCGCAGGTGCTCGCTTTAGGTTTCATTCATTCAATTGAATGGTCAGGACTGTACGCCTGCCGGTGAGGACTATAAACTAGCAATTGCTAGTAATTCAAATCAAGAATTAATATCACCATGAATGATTGTATAATATCACTGGTTAATTCTGGGTTTTGTGTTTATAATTTTCATTGCAGGTTTACAACCTAACTAATTGTCACTAACTAACTAGCTCATTAAACGTCACTAATATTCAAGCTGACAGGCTAGCGTAGTTGTAGCAGTTAGGCTACCTAGTGTGTGTGGATGCTTATTGTGTATGTGTGCGCAATAAAAATTCATAAAGTGACTTGAGTTGTATCCGCCGTACTTGTCCTGAAACCCTTCCAGAGGGGAGTTTATTGAGCTATAGCAGGTAGTTCAGTAATAGTTAACAAGTCTTGGACCAGATCCTCTGAGTTCTGCTACCTTTACTTATCTGTCAATGCACGCCCTCACGTTTTGACATTAACCCTGCAGACAATGTAAAAGGATGTGTTGCAAGGATGTGGTAAGTTCCTATTTCTGATTTTTTTTTCTCAATAACATCTTGAAATAGTAATACTTTTAGTCCTGCTTCCTCCTAAGACGGATACCTACTACACACAAATGTTTTCATGTAGATATTTTCATTTTGTTCTGGCATTTATGTAAACATAAAACATCAATTTTTTTTTTTTTTCCTTTTTAGAACCTGATAATTTTTTACTTCTTTATTATCATAAGTCTTTATGATAGCAACAAGCCATAACGAATATTCACATCACATCTTATATGTCTCGTTAATGTCATGGAGATACCGTAGTAACAACCTAAAACAATGACAGCCAAACTATCCCATGACAAACTGCAGTGAACTGAAATCCCATTATTGCAGGTTGAAAGCTCTTTCTACGTAGCCACAGAATAGACAAACCAATTGGTTGGTGAATAAATAATATATATATATAATATATACATATTATATAGTAAAATTATTTATTTTTGCTTTTAACTTTTTACCAGTACTGCCAGATAATTAAGAGCAATTAGAACATGAGAGCATACTGCCTGAAAGAGTCACCCCCAGAAGTAATCCAGTAAGCAAGTCCTTCCCACTGTGAAATATCGCTGGATTTTGGTCCCAGCTGCCAAGCCCTTTTGCAATATGGAACGCCCAGAAGTCTGCGCACAGTGATTGAGGTTTGGCCGCGACGTGTATTATAAGACGTAACAAGACGAAACAGACAAGCAAAGTAACTTGACCCTTTTTTGTAGTTCCAGTTTAGGTTTCCCACAGAAACAGTCCCCCAAGTAGAAATGTCCCTTCAGAGGAAACCAAGACAGTAATTTTTTTCTTTTATACATTTCGGAGCCCTGTACTTTTTTAGTCCTTTAATAATTTCTCTTGGTAAAAAA